GAGAGTGAGTGAGTGAGTGAGTGAGTGTGTGTGTGTGTGTGTGTGTGTGTGTGTGAGTGAGTTAGTGTGTGTGTGTTTTATGTATAGTCAGTCACTGACATTCAGTTTCTGTTTATGAAAGAAAAACGTCTCATCAGCAGAACTTTGGCTTGATTATTATTCATATTCACCTTTATAAATGAATGAAATCAGGCTCATCAGTCAGCGATCATGAACTGTGATTCTGCTTTGAACTGTCCTAATCGCAGTATTTGTCTCTCTCGCAGGAAGGTCAGCTTCTAGAAAGTTCTCTGATCAACAGCGTCCGTCCCGGAGTCGTGCCGAAGGTAAAGATGCTCCTGTTTGAACTGAAATGAATCGTCCAAACAAACCCTTGAATCGATCACTGCTGACAGAGTCTCACATGCTGAAGAGTTTAGTTAGGTTACTGTTAGTCAGAGTTACAGCTACTGTGATGAAGATGAGGCATTAAACCGTTCAGACGGTTTCGAGTCGTTCTGTCTGCAGGTGCATCAGACGCGTCACATGAGCTGACGTGACACATGATGATGGACAGAGAGCCGTCGAGGCGTTACTGTTTGCTTTACTTCTGCTCTCGAGTGTTATTGACAGTCAGAGATTATCTTTCACATTCAGTGTTTGTGTCAGATATTGACTGGTGTGTATGTGGCTGCAGTGTTTGTCTTCTGCGGTCAGGTGTTCACAGCAGGAACGTGTTTGTGGAGGCGGCTCATGTTTACAGGACCTGATGGTAACCCGCTTCAGCTGTTTGTTAAGAAGGAGGTGATGTGTGTTCAGCCACGTCTGCAGACACGTTTACTCTGATCAGTTTATCGCTTCATATGTTTCTCTGGGAATCGAGCCGTGAGCACAGTGCTGCTGGCACAAAAACAGACATTCAGATGGATGTTTGTTAACTTTGTCCAATGACGTGTGAAAATATGGGTCATTTTTATTCAGTTGCATTATTCCGCTGCTGAATCTCACACTGATCAGTTCAGGGTTGAATCGTTCATCATGAGCTGATGTTCCTTAAACATCATTAAAGTGTATGAGTTTCTTTCATATTTTAAAGAAGATATTTTGAAGAATGTACCAAACAGTTTGTGGTCCCCATTGACTTCCATTATATTTTCTCCATACTATAGAAGTCAATGGCTTTCTTCAAAATATCTTCTTTGTGTTCAGCAGAAGAAAGAAACTCATACAGGTTTATAACAACTTGACCAACCCTGAAACAACATACAGAACTACCACATTTTGCTATAAGTTTGATTGCATCATATAATAATTGCTGTTAATAGTGTTCATCGTCTGTTTGATTACGTCTTTAATAGATTTTTCCGTACATTTCTGCCATATGTACATTAACTGACAGTCACCACTGATAAGCTACCACTAAATATTGTAGAAACATCATTTGCTGTAAAGCTGCTTTGCAACGATTTGTATCGTGAAAAGCGCTGTACAAATAAACTTGAATTGAACTTGAATAAATGATGACAGAATTTTCATTTTTGGCTGAACTATGGCTTTAAATGAATCGGACACAAGCGTGACTGTCTGGGAATGTAAACACGCAAACAGCTTCAACATCCATCTCGTAGTTTACCGTGTTGATCTGTTATAAAGGTTATTGTAAGTCATCCCGTGTTTCTGCATGAACTGAACCGGTACTAACGTGTTGAGTTGATATTTGTGTGTCGTGTGTTTTTGTTCCTGAAGGACCCGAAGATCCTGGCGTCTCTGGAAGCGGCGGGGAAGAGCGAGGCGGATCTGGACGGTCGCATCATCTGCGTCTGCAGCGGGCCGGACCTGGTCAACCTCAGCTTCATGTACATGGTGACGGACAACACGGATACGGCCAAGGTGAGCGTTACCACGGCGACGCGTGTAAACCGGCTGATGGAGCAGCGGCAGAGATCAGTACTGCAAACCTCAGGAGTTTCTCATTAAACCACATGAATCGCCAACCAACTTTAACTGTTTCGAATGTTCTGTCATATTCAGTAATATTCTGTTGTGTGACTGAATCAGAGTGAAACGAGTCGTTTGTTGTTCATCCACATCTAACAAGCTCAAACTGAGTCTTAAATCAGCTGCTTCATTTTATGTTTATGTCATTTGAGGTTTGAAAACTTAACAGATTTACAGACGCGTCATGTGTTTAAGTTAGTTAATGCTAGATAATTGATAATGTAGCTGATCTAATAGTCAGATTTGTCCCTGATTCGTGAGCTTCTTCAGACGTGAATCATTCAAAGCGTCTCCTGTATGAATAAAATATGAATCTCAATCTGACCGTTGATCGTAAACTACTACAAAACATGTGTTTACCTCTTCTCATGTATGATTGTGTCTTGTTTGCAGAAATGGATGGAAGGCCTGAAATCAGTGATTCACAACTTCAAGGCGAATAACGTGTGTCCAATGACGTGTCTGAAGAAACAGTAAGTAGACGACTCAACGCTCAAACTACTGAATGACACACATCTATGTGTGCACGTTTATAGTGGTAAACAGACCCTGAATCGAGATCTGCTGGAGATCATTTCAAGATCAGTTTGAGATCTGCTGGAGATCAGTTGGAGATCTGCTGGAGATCTGTTAGAGATCTGTTGGAGATCTGCTGGAGATCAGTTTGAGATCATTTCAAGATCAGTTTGAGATCTGTTGGAGATCAGTTGGAGATCTGCTGGAGATCTGCTGGAGATATGTTAGAGATCTGTTGGAGATCTGCTGGAGATCTGTTAGAGATCAGTTGGAGATCTATTAGAGATCAGTTGCAGATCAGTTTGAGATCATTTCAAGATCAGTTTGAGATCTGTTAGAGATCAGTTGGAGATCTGCTGGAGATATGTTAGAGATCTGTTGGAGATCTGCTGGAGATCTGTTAGAGATCAGTTGGAGATCTATTAGAGATCAGTTGCAGATCAGTTTGAGATCATTTCAAGATCAGTTTGAGATCTGTTAGAGATCAGTTGGAGATCTGCTGGAGATATGTTAGAGATCTGTTGGAGATCTGCTGGAGATCTGTTAGAGATCAGTTGGAGATCTATTAGAGATCAGTTGCAGATCAGTTTGAGATCATTTCAAGATCAGTTTGAGATCTGCTGGAGATCCGTTTGAGATCTGCTGGAGATCAGTTGGAGATCTGTTCTAACCAAACTAGAATCAGCAGGATCCATCAGATGTTTGTCTTCTTGAACTTTCTCTGTCTTTCTCTCTAGTTGGATGAGACTCTCCTTCGTAACGAATGTCAACGGCAAGATCCCGGTCCGAGGGTGAGTGCTTGATTCCTCTGGATCTTCTCTTTATTCTTTGATGTTTTGACCGATCTGATCTGATCTGATCGTCTCGTCTTGTCTCGTGCAGCATAACACGGACGTTCGGCTCGGGTAAAACAGAGAAGGGAATCTTCCAGGCGCTGAAGGAGCTCGGTCTCCCCAGCGGGAAGGTCAGACTGTTACACATTTATATTGTTATGGAAATCACAAAGAGTCTTAATTCATGATCCTGCTCTTATTGTGAGCGAATTATCAGTCATGTGATTTTAAAGAGAAACACGTCTTTGACTTTCAGCTCATGTCATCGTGCCATGAAAGAACAGTGTTATTTTATATATTTATTTCTTTTATTTATTACTTATTTCGTACTATATTTTAGTATTTTATGTATTTAGTGTTTCGTTGTTTTATGTACAATTATAGGATTTATTGAAGTGTTGAATTACCTTTTATTTTTTCAGTTTAGTTTTAGTAGTTCTGTGTAACCAGGTTATTGAGTCGCTTTTCAAGATGTGAACCAATGAGACTTTTTGACTTATTTTCCAGTTAAAACATTTAAAAACCATTGAAAAAACTTTAGTTTTAATAACCTGCCAGCGCAGTAAAAAGAAACTTATTTTATTGGAGACAGATTCACTGTAAACAGATGATTGATTGAGTTTTCCGTGGTTTTCAGCTGGAAAATGAGACTCAAAGACTGGTTAAAAGCAGGATTTCTGTGCAAACCCTCGTTCAGCGTCCCATCAGTCCCTCACGGATCAAACCACATCTCGTCCTACTTTAGCTGAATATCCTGTTCCTGTCACGTTGCAGAAGTTAAATAAGTGTCATGCTGAATCTGCTTGATTTGGTTTTGTGTTGCAGAATGATGAAATCGAGCATTCGGCCTTCACCTTCGACATCTTCTACGCTCTGACGCAGAAGATCTGCCCTCGCACGGACATCGAGGAGCTCTTCAAGAACATGTACGTCCACATCACACCTGCTGCTGTTCACTCCTCGCGGTTAACTAGTACTTCAGAGCCAGCACTGGAGCACTAACTATGAGACAGACTCCTAACGGCTTCAGCAGTTCAACATTAACCCGTGTGTTTGACTAACAGATTATAGAGCGTCAGACGGGTGTTGTACAGATGCTTTGTGATGTCTAACTCTCTCTCTCTCTCTCTAATGTTATTATAACCAAACCAAATCTCTTCTGCTCAATTTCTTTGCAGCAACGGAGACAAAAGTGATTATTTAACCGTAGAGCAGTTAGTCAGCTTTCTGAATGAAGTAAGCTCTTTATCATCATTATTAACTGTGTGTGTGTGTGTGTCTGCATGTCTGTCGGCTTCCTGTGTTTGTGTTCATGTGTTTGCAGACACACGCGTGTGGGTCGCGCTGCATGTGGATCCGAGCGTGTCGCCGTGGGTCGTGCTTGTGTTTGTTGGGCTTTATTTGCTCGTCTTGTGCAGCCGGTCTCACGCTTGTTTGTCTGCTGAACACAAACTCTCTTAACGCAGACACGGCACTGTTTGTGAACTAGTTAGTGATGTTCTAGCAGGGCAGAAATGAAGCTCAGAATGTGAGTAAACTGGCCTGATGCTCATCTGTTATCTAACATCAGATGCTGTTCTCGTTCCGTTTGCTTCAATACGAGTTATTTGAAGTGAGGACGCGCTGTGTGTTTTATGTGGTTTGGAAAAATCTGCCCTCATAAGGGTAAAAAATGCATCTGTGGATTCTGCGAGGGCTGTAGTTTCACGAGCTCATAAAGACGTTGAGATGCGTCTCTGAGCACGAATCCTTCCTCATTTCAGATCTTTGTTTTCCCTGTAGAACCAGCGGGACCCTCGACTCAACGAGATCCTCTTCCCCTTCTATGATGCCAAACGAGTCATGCAGATCATTGAGAAGTACGAGAGAGACGCCGACTTGAAAAAGAAAGGTAAATAGAGGAGGTGTGATGAGTGTTCAATTACCGGACCGATGGCTGATCATCTGCTGCCCTCTAGTGGTCAGGCGGCGTCAGCACGCGCTCCTGAAACACAGGATCCAAAGACATTTCCAGGTCAGGATAAGCAGGACACTGAGTATGGACAAATGTTTGTGTTTCTAGTTATTTCTATTATTGCCCGAATTCTAAAATATGATATTGAAAAATTCTAAAAATACATTTATCATACAAGCATTAATAAAACGCTGCACATTTAACTCGACTGAGTTTGATTTTAATGGATTTGTATGAGCTACAGCATGTAGTTACAATATTCCAATTATTACAACATACAAAAAAAAAAAGATTTTAACCAAATCTGTGGTCTTGGTGATTCAGAAAATCAGCGAAACAATTCAGCTAAAACTCATCTTTAGTGTTCTGATGGATGGCCTGAGGATGAGTAAATTAAAAGCAAATTTTCATTTCTCTGGGTGCGTTCAAAACGGGTCTTAAAGTCTTATTTCACTCTTCCACAAATTAAAGCCTAAAAATTTCTTAAATCAGAGCAGAAAGTCTTCAATTTATAAACTCATGGCATTAAATGTTGCATGAACTGCAATAAATGAACATCTTCCTCAGTATTTCTGTCTTGTTCTCCAGTATAAATCTCTAAACATCCTCAAATCCAGACACATTTACTGGAGAAGCACAATACGGTTGGTTACACATGAAGTCTTGATTTCTGAGAAACTGAACAAAATGAAGTGAGTTTATGATTAAAACAAGAACAAATATCTGTCAATGGGGAATGAAAACTTGTTTTTTTTTCCTTTGAATTAAGATGGTTTTTAAAGTTTATTATATAACGGATAGTTCCGGTCCTTGATTCTGATTGGCTGAGCCGCGTTCGAAGCTGTTGTAAATGACTCTACAAAGTAACATACACCTTTGTTTACGTTTGTGTGTTGCTCGGCAACCACTTTGTAGCAACCACAACTGTTTCTGAGGAACTACATTGTTTGGTGGAAGAATACTGTTTTTATTAATATCATTACACTTTATTTGCTCTGTTTTATTTTGTGAAACCTATATGGAATAACTGTTTTATAAAAGCAATAAGCCCCGTAAAGCCGTGGTTTACAGTGAATTTATAACAGCTAAGCGGCGTTGTTAGGAAAGTGTAGCGTCTAAAACCCCCTTAGCTGTTATAAATTCACTGTAAACCACGGCTTCTTGGGGCTTATTGCTTTATTAGAGTATACTGCATTTTAAAATGGTCACAATCGGATTACAGTTACATGATTACATATTACTCACACAATGGCAGTAATTATTCACACTTTATAGATTCTTCTTTTTTTTAATTATCCTCTCTAAAATCCTACTGTGTGCCATACGATTTCTATTTTTAATTCTTTAATGTAATGTTTAATGCACTTTATGGCGTTGATATCAAGACATGGAATATATTTTCTTTCTCTTTGCTTTTTTATATCTATATGGTAAGTTTAAAACAAGTAAGATAAAAAAAGTAATCTAAAAAGTCGTCGGAATACATTAGCTAAAAATAAGTAACCTAGATTACGTTACTGACTGTAGTGCAGTACTGTGGGTGAATGAGACGACGAACAAACAGCGTCTCAAAGAGAGTAAATGAAATCAGAGAAACTGTGTGTGTGTGTGCGACTCACTCTCGTGATGAATTTAGTTTCTGCTCCGGGCGACAGATCGACAATCATCAGCTGATGAAGTGAGTTTATGATTAAAACAAGAACAAATATCTGTCAATGGGGAATGAAAACTTGTTTTTTTTTCCTTTGAATTAAGATGGTTTTTAAAGTTTATTATATAACGGATAGTTCCGGTCCTTGATTCTGATTGGCTGAGCCGCGTTCGAAGCTGTTGATTAATTACACTGAAAACGACACTTTATATCTTGTTCTTGCTTTTCAAGTAAATATCTTGATATAAGGATATTTAGAGATTCACATTTTTTGTCTAAGTGAATTAAGAGTAATGGAGATCTGTTGGAAGTTGTATTTTCAAACTTTGAAGCGTTGCTAATATAAGACATTCACATCTAATGACCATATTGACGTATTTGGTTCAATTCGGTTTATTCCTTGAATTTTCTTTACTTGGTCTCAAAAAGTTTTAAATGTTCCCTGATCTACAGAGTCTGAGAAAGTGTAGCTTTGGACTGGAGACTGCAGGAACTGTAGATGAAACATTCAGAGTTCATGATAAACTGATGCATCAGCGGCACGAGCTTCACGCTCTCACCTGATCATCTTGTCTTCAGGTCACATGTCCAGCGACGGCTTCTGCCGCTACCTGATGTCAGACGAGAACGCGCCGGTGTTTCTGGACCGTCTGGATCTGTGTCAGGAGATGGAGCATCCGCTGGCTCATTACTTCATCAGCTCCTCACACAACACCTACCTGACGGGCCGGCAGTTCGGCGGGAAGTCCTCGGTGGAGATGTACCGACAGGTGCTGCTGTCCGGATGCAGGTATGCCTTCATCATCATCTCATCCTGTTGGCATCTGTATTCAATATATAAACCATTTCTAACTGAATTTCCAGGAATAATGACTATATCATGGTTGCAGGGTTTTGCAGTAATACGTGATGTTTTTGGTAATTTGACACATTCTGCTTTTCTTGTGTCTGTTTGTTTGTTTGTTTGTTTGTGTAACAGGATGTAATTCAAGCCATAAAGGAAACGGCGTTTGTAACGTCTGAATATCCTGTCATTCTGTCGTTTGAGAACCACTGCAGGTAAAACGCGCCGCATGTCCGCTCTCAGCCTCGTGTTGGTCTGTGGCGGCGCTCACAGCCGTGTGTGTGTGTGTGTGTGTGTGTGTGTTGCAGTAAAACGCAGCAGTATAAGATGGCCAAGTACTGCGAGGAGATCTTCGGAGAGCTGTTGCTGAAGCAGCCGCTGGAGGGATTCCCAGTACGTGATCTATTCCCCCGCACACAGATCCAGACCTTCATGGAAAATGTAGTCCACTGAAGCATCTCCACGCAGGAGTTTCTGTGCTCACGGAGGACTGTGCTTGTGTTTCAGATCGAAGCCGGCCAGCCGCTGCCATCACCCAGCGACCTCAAGCGCAAAATACTCATCAAGAACAAGCGCTTGAAGCCTGAAGTGGAGCAGAGTACGTACATGTGCATCCAGACGCGCTCAGGCTTTGACTTCTGTTTGTGTGAAAGAGCTGAAAATATCTCCGGTTACACAGAGTTGATATAAAGATAAAAATTAATGGAAGCGAGTGTAACATTAAAAGAAACAAATGGGGCTCAAAAAAGAGCTGAAATAGTGATAGATCTTACAAAATCATGATACAAAATCATCAGTCATGATCGTTTTCCGAGCGCTTCACAGTAAACACTGATTCTCATGAACGTGTTTTGAGATTGTAATGTGCACTAGCTTCACTTTAGTGAACTTTTGTCTGCAGCGGCGATGTAAAATGTCATATCGCAATATATGACCAAAGAATCGCAATATAAGTCGTGCAGCCCACTGATTATTCAGCACTGGATTACTGACGCTGATGACGTCATCGTGATATTTGCATACTGGACCGTGATTGGTCTTTTCTCTTCGTCTGTATTTACATCAGATGTATTTGCTCTTTTCCGTCGCACTGGAAAAACAGATCTAAATTAATTATTCTCATCAATGTAGAATGATTCTATTTTTCTTTTTTAATTATAATCAGCTTTTATAAATTACTGTACAACAGATACTGTACAACCATGATCAATAAATAAATACATCAGAGTTTAAATAATATATCGTGTTTTTTCACTTAACATCCTTTGTTAAACTTCATTGAAACTGACTGTCATGACTGATTATTGTGTGTGTGTGTATATGTGTGTGTGTGTGTGTGTGTGTGTGTGTGTGTGTGTTTGTGTGTGTGTGTGTGTCCGACTGTGTGTGTGTGACTGTGACTGTGACTGTGTGTGTGTGTGTGTCTGTGTGTCTGCAGCGCTGGAAGGTAAAGAGCTGAACTCGGACATGAAGACCAGCAACACTCTGTCTCTGTCGGAGGATCCCAGCGATCCGTACGCACAGGACAGAAGCCTCAGGAAGAAGGTGAGCGCCGCAGGTCATGCGTGACGCAGCCGTGTGCTCCAGCTCTGCTCCTCACATCACTCTGTGTTTCAGATCCCAGATGAAGACGTCACCGAGATCTCAGAAGCGACTGAAATCACGGACGCCACCGACGTGTCAGAAGCGTCGGAGCTGGAGAACAAGAAGAAGGTGCGACTCCTGTTTGATTGGTCTGAGCACATGAGCACATGTACAGAGCTGAAGCTGCTGAGCGTCACGCGTGTGTTTCTTCATCAGGGTGTGGAAACGGCTGAAGATGCTGACGCTGAACAGCAGCTCATCGCCTCGTATAAGTATGAAGGAGCCACGACCAACATCCACCCGTACCTGTCAGCCATGGTCAACTACGCTCAGCCCGTCAAGTTCCAGAGCTTCGAGGTCGCCGAGGGTCAGTCCAGCGCTTACTGTAGCAACAAACACTGTCACGTTCACAACTGTAGCGAAACCGATGGGAAGGCAGCTAATAATAAACAAATAATAAAAATCAAACCGTTATTACGTTCTTGTTTCATTCATTTTCATGTTCTGAGGTAAATTATCAGTCATTATCTTTGTCAAATAAAGTCACCCATAATGATATTCAAACAGATTACAATTATACAAACACAGTCAGTGCAAAGCACAGTTTCACACAAAGTGCTTTACAGTAGGAAATGTAGTATGAATTTAAAGTGAAAAAAATAACACTATGTAAAATAGAATAATACACACAGTTTCAGAAATCCAGACTGGTTTGAACAAAAACTCTGATTAACCAGGATAGGGTGTTTTCTCATGTTTTGCGGTGTGTGTACATGTCCTGTGAGACACAACATGTGGATGTAAACAGCTGTGTGTTCATAAACTATGAGTGTCTGTTTTATTTCAGAGAGGAACATCCATCACAACATGTCGTCCTTCAACGAGTCTGTGGGTTTGGGCTATCTGAAGACGAATGCCATTGAGTTTGTGAAGTATCCTTTGACAGCTGCGCACGATTACCCATCAGCCCTCAAACCATGCTGAAATCACACTCTAGTTTAGTCTGTGCACGAGATCAGCCCTTCAAATATCACCAGCAGAAATCCTGTTTATTCACACGTGTGTAACTGGATGTTTGGCCAGGTGGCGCTGTAAGCACACGCGTGTGTATGTGTGTGTGTGTGTGTATGTGTATGTGTGTGTGTGTGTGTGTGTGTGAGGTTGTGTGTGTGTGTGTGTGTGTGTGAGAGAGAGAGAGTGTGTGTGTGAGTGTGTGTGTATGTGAGGTTGTGTGTGTGTGTGTGTGTGAGAGAGAGAGTGTGTGTGAGAGAGAGAGAGTGTGTGTGTGTGTGTGTGCTATTCTTACAGGATGTTATTATTATCAACATGCAAAAATGCAGCTGAGATCAGGGCAGAAATCAGTATAAAAAAAGACTCATAACTCAGTGATGCAGTGACTGATCCTGATCACCTTTGAGTGAAATTTGCTGTTTTGAAAGCAAAATTTGCAGATATAAATTTTTTCCAGGCAGCAAAATATATTATATTAAATAAATATATTAGTCATTATATATATTGAGTCACACATGATACTACAGCAACATTATGCTGGATGTTAAATACAGCTAGTTACATGAAGCAAATCAAGAAAACCCTCTGAAATGTGCATTTGAAGCTTATTCTGACACCAGAAGTTCCCCTGAAGCGTAATCGTGTCATGATGAGTTTGCATCCCTGATAACTAGTGAATTCTGTTAGTTATTAGGTTATGTAGTTTGAAGTAGACGTGAGCAGATTTTTTGGAAATGGCCGTGTTTTCCCTGTGACTCCCGTCAGGCTAAATGCACATTTGAGCTTTTTAAAAGAGGCTTGCTCTCCGGTGAGCCGTGTGTGTCCTCGGGGAACCATCCCCTGCTGTTCGTGATTAAAAATAACCCCGCTGTGGGTCTGCCGCGTGTTTTCCTCAGCCGCAGACGCGCAGCTACAACAAGCGGCAGATGAGCCGCATCTACCCCAAAGGAGGCCGCGTGGACTCCAGCAATTACATGCCTCAGATCTTCTGGAACGCCGGCTGCCAGATGGTGTCTCTGAACTTCCAGACTCCAGGTACAGCCGGGGCCCGAGAGCCACCGGGGCCGTTACTGTACGCACAGAGAGACACGCATTCACAGAAACCACTGCTCTGAGATGAGCCGTGTTCTGAAGTCACTCAACTCAGGCCAGAAAATATAATATCCAACTAGATAGTGAGAGTGTAACGTTCACATTAGATCTGACCTGACGAGCTTCTCAGTGCCTGCTAAAGTGTTTCTAGCTGTTTTCTTCAGCTCTGCTGTTCAGTGTCTGTGGGGTTTTTCGACACAACACACGTGATCTGAGGAATCACTCATGACTGGAGCTCAACTTCAACACTTCACTAGAATGTGAAGCTATTTAGAAGCAGGAAAATATCAGTGTGAATGTTGTGTTTCTCTGGACGCCAGTAATAATGCTCGTTCCCGCATGTTCAGAGCAGCATCTGTTCAGAAACACACTCATGTGCGACAGACTGAACTCAGATCAGAGAGGACGCGCCGCTCGCTTCATAAACACGACTGTGTGCTTTAGTACATCACTGCTGAAGCTGAGTGTGTGTTGAGCTCCAGTCACGAGGGATTCCTCAGATCATGTGTGTGTTCAGGAGTCAGTCAGACGCTCCATAAACCCCACAGAAGCCCAGACACATCTACAGACCACAACATGCTGAGACTCCTGAAGAAAGATGTCAAGTCTTGGATCATGACATGTGGACAAAAATATATTTATTGTGACCACAAATTAAGAATTAGTTACAATTTAACTAAAACGATGGAATGAATTTAATAGTCGTGGGAATGATTTCTGAATTTGTGGGAACAAAATATGTATCTCTCTCTCTATATATATATATATATATATATATTTATGTTTTTTTTCCCCATGTCATTTGCTGGACTCTGTAAGAATTAAATAGTCATAGGAATGATATATATATATAGATATATTCCTTTCCCCCCATGTAGTCAGTGTGTTTTAAGAGAGACATGAAGAATCTTGGTCTTGTTTCCCTCTGTAATGCAGCATATATTCATGACGCATTATGGCTGTGTTTCAGATCTGGGCATGCAGCTGAATCAGGGGAAGTTCGAGTATAACGGCGCATGCGGGTGAGTGTTTTACTGCGCTCCGTTTCCCGCTGCAGCTCATCAATTACAGTGTCGCATCGCATTAGCTGCAGCCGGCGGCGACGCATCCGCTCGCTAACATTAGTGCAAATGAGAGCTCGCTAAATATCGCCCTCGCACAGAGATTCTCATGAACGAGTCCAGCCGGAGGCCAAACACTTGTCTGGAATTACTGGCCCACGAGCGTCAATATCACAGTCTCTTAATGTCCCGTTATTACCCAGTGTGTGTGTGTGTGTGTGTGAGGAGACGTGGGACTGTGTAATGGAAAGAGCTTGGATCATTAATCTTCTCTTGGAACAATTAATCATAAAAATAATTAATATCTGGCCTGGAGGCTTGTCTGAGTGGAGGGATGGTGAGGAGCGTTTCTCTGGAGATGCTGCAGTGATTCCTGCGACTCTCTCCTGCATGTACCTCGCATTATGGCTGTGTTTCAGATCTGGGCATGCAGCTGAATCAGGGGAAGTTCGAGTATAACGGCGCATGCGGGTGAGTGTTTGCTGCGCTCTGTTTCCCGCTGCAGCTCATCAATTACAGTGTCACATCGCATTAGCTGCAGCCGGCGGCGACGCGTCCGCTCGCTAACATTAGTGCAAATGAGAGCTCGCTAAATATCGCCCTCGCACAGAGATTCTCATGAACGAGTCCAGCCGGAGGCCAAACACTTGTCTGGAATTACTGGCCCACGAGCGTCAATATCACAGTCTCTTAATGTCCCGTTATTACCCAGTGTGTGTGTGTGTGTGTGTGAGGAGACGTGGGACTGTGTAATGGAAAGAGCTTGGATCATTAATCTTCTGTTGAACAATTAATCGGAAAAATAATTAATATCTGGCCTAGAGGCGCAGCTCTGAGAGAACGAGTCTGAACGGATGGATGGTGTGGACGAGCGACACAGAGCTGTGTTTCTCTCAAGATGCTGTAGTAATTCCTGCGACTCTCTCCTGCAGGTACCTCCTGAAACCAGACTTCATGCGCCGTGCTGACAGAATGTTCGACCCGTTCTCTGAGACGCCAGTAGATGGAGTGATAGCAGCGACCTGCAGTGTACAGGTGACACACACACACATTCTCTCTCTCACACACACACACTTCCTGCGACTCCTGCAGGTACCTCCTGAAACCAGACTTCATGCGCCGTGCTGACAGAATGTTCGACCCGTTCTCTGAGACGCCAGTAGATGGAGTGATAGCAGCGACCTGCAGTGTACAGGTGACACACACACACATTCTCTCTCTCACACACACACACACACACACACACAGACACACACTCTCTC